CAATTGGTGAGAGAGAAGCAACGTGAGTTTGTGGCCGAAAGAATGCCTCCCGCCGTTCCGGAAGCATCAAGGTGGTTGTTGGAATCTAGGAAGCGAGGCAGAATTGATCTAAGCTTGATGGTGTCCGGTTTTTGTAGTTTGGTTTCTTGAAGGAGGGCTATGGACGGTCGTACACAGTTTAATTCAGAAAACACATTCGCGCACTTGTCATTATCCCCTAGACCACGAACATTCCAGGATACAATAGAGTAGGAAGCGTTCTTCATAGATGAAACTTGAGGTAGCACCATACATAGAGGTATTGACACGATCGACAACCATATCGTGTCAAGGTACAGCAGGACAAGCTGACAGAAGTATGCGTGAGCACACAAACAGGTTCGGTTTGACTACGATAGCAACTACATAGTGGAGCTAGACTCCGGATACATGGCCATAGTTGGCCGGCCCACGCGTGGGCACTGAACGGAGGCCTGATCATGGCGAGTCTGGTTCACCCGAGCCAGACGCAATGTCCGCAACCGCATCCTGCGAGGCACCGCAGGCCGCAGCAACAGCAGCTAGATCTTCAGGAGAGGCGAGACCGCGAGACGCACCGTCGACGGACCCAGACCCGTCGCAAAGACGAGCATGGATCAGGGCATCCGCAAGATCCTTGGACGCAGCAGCCAGGTCGAGTTTCTTGGCCTTGGAGCGCATGGCCCTGGCGGTCATGGTGGAGTAGACAGGCGGCTCGATTCCAGCCAGCCTAGCGCTGCGCCTGGCCTTGATGCCAGAGTCAGCAGCCATCTTAGCGCACCTGCTGATACGCCTAGCCAGGCATTCATGGGTTGGCTCCGGCGAGAGCACGGCCGAGGGAGCAGGAGGAGATGGTGGAGGGGACAGCGCAACAGGGAGCGGAGGAGAAGGTGGTGGGGGTGGCAAGGCTAGAGGAGAGCGATAGGGTCGAAGGCGAGCCCGATCCCGAGCCGGAGAGGGAGAGCGAGCATGGGGTGCCCAAGGGGCGTTAACCAGCATGGCGACGGGCATGCCATCGGCCATGACAGCCAAGATCGGGATGCCTTCAAGAGGCCGGTCCACAGGCGATGGAGGGGGCCCGTGGGAGAATCCGGAACGCAAGCAAATGGTGACATAGCCGTAGCGATATTTCTGATCTGTGAGATGGAGGACGGAGAGAGCTGCGGGATTGTGGCGAGGGAGGAGAGGGTACCATCGTCCTCATCCTCCGAGGAGAAGGGTGAGGCCTGAGAACCATGGCGGAAGAGCGCACGGCTCTCAAGCTTGACGATGACAACGTCGTTATCGGGGAGCCGAACCATTAGGCATGGGGGAAGGACAAAATCACGGGCAACCATGACCAGAGCGCGGACGCTCGAGTAGTCGCCCTGGAAACAGTGTTGGTCTGCGGAGACGAAGTCGCCAAGGTGGGAGAAGAAGTAGTCGACACCCTCAGGGTGCCAAAGCTCATCCGGGAAGTCGAAGGCTTCGATCTCAACCATGTGGAGGAAGATGGTTGTGGATCTGTTGTCAGCGTGTTCTGGGCGTTCGAAGAAGAGCGTGTTGCCCTGGAAGTGGATAGGGCCATGGCCAGTGACCGCAAGTCGCTCCTCCGTGTTAGGGAAGGAGAGACGGCCGGCGCCACGGGTAGCTGAGGTGAGGCCGAAGGCTGGGTTGTTGCGGTGGTGAGCAATGGCTTGGCGTATGAACCTGAATGGGTTGTGGAGAGGTGTGTCAAGGTGCACGTATGCGATGTTGTCAACCTGTCGAACGAGACAGGTGGGTGGGACAAGGAGTGGGATATGTGGAGGCGAGTGTGTGTAGCCTGATGCAGCGGATGGGAAGTGGAGAGGAGAGGGAGGCGGAGGTGGTGCGAAGGATGGCGCCGGGGAGGAGGATGAGGATGCACGTGGCCCGAAGATGAGTGGGAGACGGAATGGAGGCAGGTCTTTGGTGAGAACGCAGTGAGAGCCAAACCAGATTGGGGCGCCGTCGGAGTGCGCGGAGCCGGCCGAGGAGCCGGAGGCGGTGTGGGTACCCGTGGTATGAGCCATTGAGCTGCAAGGAGGCGGCACGAAAGCTGGGTTAATACGAGGAGTTGGGGGCATAGGAGGAAAGAACGGAAGGAGGCGGACAGCCTTGCACCTGTAGCTCCGGTGGCCGGAGCACCAGCAGCGGGAGCACCGAACGGGGTCGCGGCAGTCGGCGATATTGTGGTCACTAGCAAGGCACCGGAAGCATCTACCCTTCTTCTTGCGGCTGTAATGGAGGTGGATGTGTTTGGGGTTGGCTAGTGCTGTGGGGGGAGATATATAGGCCGGGGATGCAGGTTGGGGAGGGCTGGCGGGTGCAGCGACCCGAGGCGGGGGGCACAGCAGCACCTCCCGGTAGGAGCGCGGGTCTGGCTGCGTTGCGGAGATCGAAGATCGCAGGGGGGTGGCAGCAGTGGCAGTGGCGGGTGAGAGGTTCATGGTGATCTCGGGACGGAGCTGAGGTGACTGGGCGGGACGTGGGCTGGCGAAGGTAGGGGAGGCAGGTGGTGGAGTAGAGGCGATGATGGGCGCATGCGTGGGCATGCAGGCGTTGTTTTTGTTATGCGTGGTGGTGGAGATGGTGGGCGTGAGTGGGGCCCGCGAATCAGTGACTGTTGGGTGCGTTCTTGGGTGAGAGAAGCTGTCTGGGAAGCGCGGGGGCTGCGTTGCCGACCGGAGGGCGGCTGGGCCGACTCTTGTGGGGCCGCTGTGTCAGTGTGATTTGATGGGTGGCGTGGAGACGGATCGATGGTGGCCGTGTCAGATAAATTAGTAACCTGGTCTATGGGAGGGGCGGCATAGCCACCTAGCTGATTTTTCTCGCAAGGGGAGGGGAGCGAGGAGACGCGACGGTGGCTGCCGATCCAGGAGAGCGGCCCACGTGTCCCGGCTCATCGAGTGCATCGCGGTCAAAACGGTCCTGGGCAGTGGATTCCACGCGATGAACAGTGGCGTGAATCTTATCTTGCAGAGGAGGGAGATTTTGTGGTGTTGTGGTGGTTGACGGGTGCGGTCCAAGGCAGGACGAGGGGTGGGTGGGAAGGACGGTCACGCACGTACACGTAGCGTCCGGTTCAAAGACAATGGGAAGCGGTACCGTGCGCACAGTGTTCGTCGCTTGGTCAAATGAAGCGCACAGTAAAAGTTCAAAATTTGAAAACCGGATGGGCGCAAGACGGAGAATTTCGTTTCTGACTTCAGCGGAGAAGACATGCACTAAAAACAAGTTTGGGGCCAACGTGGTTGCGTGAAAAACTCTTTGAAACGAGAACTGGTGGTCTAGTGCATTATTAATCAAAGTTTCATTAGCACACACAGACTTTGAGGAAAACACGATCCATATGGGAGTGGTAGGTTTGTGTGTTAGGCATGAGGTAGGCGAGGTGACAAGGCAGTGGTACTTAGAGTAAATCAACTTATTAAATGAAATACCTGGTCGGAATGGCCGTACCGTTGCATGCATACGCAGGGGAGTGGGTGGAGTGGTAGTCGCAGGAGACCGAGCGGGCGACCGACCGTTGGAGCCGGCAGGGCCCACATGCATGGAGGCCATGCACGGAGCGGGGCGTGGTTGATCGAAGACGGCGATGCAGGAGGGAGCCGGCGGGGAGAAAGGCGGCGCCAGGAGCGTCCCCGCCTGCAGCACGGGCTCGCCGCGTGGCGCAACCGTAATGGTGGCGAACAGACGAGGAGCCACGATAGGAGAGCATGCCGCGACGAGAGTGGCGACGACGTTGGAGGAGACCGTCGTTGAGAAGGCGGCGTTGGAGAGACGGCGAACGTCGATAGACCTCGCGAGGCCCCCAAAGCGAAAGGAAAGGAGGGTTGCGACTAGGGTTTCATCAACCATGAAGTCGGCTTTGTGGACGAAGAAGATGATGGAGCTGGGAGCGGCCGCGTCCGGAGGCGGCCCGAAAACTGTGGATGAGAAGAGCTCGAGGATATTGAGCTCGAAGTCAACACCGGGGGAGGGGAGTAGCCGCAGCTGGGAGCGCAGAAACGCGTCAGCGTGGCCGAAGCGATCCCCGAAGTCAAGGGGCTTCCTATGGTGTGTGGGCTTTGGACGAGAGGAGGGGTGAGGCGGTGGGTAGGGGAGAAATTGAATGGAGTGTGTTTTTCCGGTGAGAATGGGCTCAGCGATGAGAGCTTGCACGATGCGTTTGTGGGAGACGGAGATGCGAAAGAGTTGATCCCGAAGGTGGGTTGCCTGAAAGGCCGGAGCGCAGCCCCCCAGGCAAGCTTGCATGAGGACAGCGACGAGGTCCTCGTCTAGATCGAGGGAGATGTGGTGAACTTGCACCGAGAGGAAGCATGGCGCTTCATGGCGGCGCGGATTGACGTGCATGGAGAGACACCTCCATACTTGCGCCTGGAAGTCCTCCCCCATGGCGTCTCCGACGCCGAGCGCAGCGCGCAGGGCCTTGTCAGTGGGAGAGTCCTTCCAACGAAAGGGTTCGTGGAAAGGAGCGGTCGCCGGAGTTGGGATGGAGGGCGCAGTGGCGAGGCTGGAGCTGCCGGAGGGCGCAGCCGTTGTGGTGTGGCTGGTGCTGCCGGAGGCGAGCGGGAGGGGAGGGTTGGAGGAGAGGAGAGGGAGAGCCATTTTCATCCCATATGCAATGTGTTCGTTGCGTTCCCTAAACTTGAATGGTTGATCATCATGAATATGCCCAACTGGGAGGAGTGGTCTTTTCTCGAGGAAGAAGATGAACAGGAAGAGGATGGAACTACTGACATTCATAAAGAGGATGTGCAATCTGCAAGCTTGCAACTGCTGCCTCGTTTGGTGGAGTTGCAACTCGTTGATTGCCCAAAGTTGAGGGCTCTCCCGCGAGAGCTTGGAGAGGATACTGCCAGCTTGAAGGAGCTCGAGTTAACTGGAATAAACAACTTGAAGTCTGTGCACGACTTCCCAGTTCCCACTGCTCTCTGAGCTCCTTGTTATTGCCGATTGCGAAGGCCTCTAGAGGATCTCCAACATCCGTCAAGTGTCTGAACTGCGTGTACGTGGCTGTCCAAACTTGAGCCATGTAGAAGGGTTGGGCAGCTTGCAGCGGGACTGGCTACTGGTCAATCGACTGATTTTTTATTGGGTCAGTCGATTGACCTCAAACTGTTTCAGTCGAGCCTAATTAATTAGGCAGTCCAGTTACGGTAGTTGCAGCAACAAAAGCCCAACGCACAGGTGCAAGCTGCAGTCCAGTACTGCCAAGCGAGTCTACTTTTTTGTACAATGATTATGGCTGCTCTAGTATATTGTTGGACAAGCCTTTGTAGATGATCGATGAATAGCACTCTCACACATATTGGCTTTGCTCAATAAAGAAAAATCTCACATGTTGGCAAACAATATGTATATTTATTTTATACATATAAAAACATATACATACGTGTATATATAAAATGTATTATTACTATGCAAAAATGAGCATATAATAGTGATATCTCCAAAAACAAGTGTTTCCTAAGAATTAATGGATTAGGGACATCGATGTTATCCTTACAAAAGAAAAGAAAATCAAAACTAAAACAAAGTAAAAAAGAAATAAAAACTAAAAAAATAAAAAAGAAGTTTTCTATGAAAGAAAGAATTCGTGGCATTGGTATTACCCTTCCAGATGAAAGAAAAAAATGAAATAAAATAATGAAGTTTTCTAAAAATAAGTGAAACCCTTTCAGAATAAACTAAAACAAAACTCAAAACAATAAAGTTTTCTAAGAAAGAATGAAACCCTTTAAGAAGAAAGAAAATGAAAAGGGAAGAACTTTCAAAACTTGCACACAATTTGCACTGAAATTACACTTTTTGAAATATGCGAATAATAAGCATATAATAGTGCATTTTTTGCATTCTACTATAATTTACACATAGTGTAATAGAAATAATGTATTTCCTTTAAGAGGAAAGAAAATTAAAAAGAACTTGCGCATAACTTTGCACTGAAATTGCACTTTCTCGTAATATGCAAAAATAATCATATAATCATGAAATTTTGGCACATATTTTATAGTATTTGTTTTTATATAATTACAGTGAGCCAAAAATGCACAAAAAACAAAAAAATAACCAATAAATGAAAGAAAAAAGGTAAAATAAAACTCATAGAAATAGAAAACAGAAATAAAAAATAAAGTAAAAATGAGCATATTATAGTGAGATTTCCACAAAAAAAAGTGTTTTCTCAAAAGTAATGGATTAGTGACATCGGTATTACCCTTACAAAAGAAAAATAAAACAAAATAATAAAAATGTTATAAAAACTGAAACAAAATAAAAAAATGTTTTCTACGACGATTGAATTCGTGGCATTGGTATTGCCCTTTCATAAAAAAAACCAAAATAATGTAGTTTTCTAAGAAAGAACGGAACAGTTTAAGAAGAAAGAAAATAAAAAAGAAAAAACTTTCAAAACATGCACACAATTTGCACTGAAATTGCACTTTTTGAAATATGAAAAGAATAAGCGTATAACAGTGCATTTTCTGCATTATACTATAATTTACATATAGTGTAATTGAAATAATGTATTTTTCTTGAAGAAGAAAGAAAAATAAAAAAACTTGCGCACAACTTTTCATCAAAATTGCATTATCGTAATATGCAAAAATAATCATATAATCATGAAATTTTGGTACATATTATATAGTATGTGTTTGTATATAATTACACTCGGCCAAAAACCCACAAAAACAAAAAATATAATCAATAAAAGAGAGAAAGAAAAAATGCATAGAAACAGAAAACAGAAATAAAATAAAAGCAAAAATACCCACAAAAGAAAGAATTAAATTTCCTAGGAAAGAATGATTTAGTGGCATTGGTATTACCATTTAAGAACAAAGAAAATGGGAAAAAGAATCTAAAACAAACACTGACAAAATTTACATGAAATATACATAAAATTGCGCTTCAAAAAATATGCAAGAATATGCATATAAAAGTTGAACTTTTGCAAAAACAAAATCTGAGAAAAAAATGAATAGTGGAATTGGTATTAACCTTAAAGTAGAATAAAAATAAGTAAAGAGTAAAACATTATCGAAATAATGATTTTTCCTGAAAAAATGAATTAGTGGTGTTGGTATTTCTTTAAGAAGAAGAGAGAATTAAAAAAAACATGCACACAACTTTGCACCAAAATTGCATTTTATTATAATGTGCCAAAATAATCACATAATCATGAAATTTTGGCACATATTTGTATGTATATAATTACACTCAGCCAAAAACCCACAAAAACAAAAAAAATAACCAAGAAAGGAAAAAAGAAAAAGAAAAACGGATCCCAGAAAAACAAAAACAAGCCCATGAAGCAACTCGACTGACCCAAAATAGGGGTCAATCAATTCCACAGAGCTAAATTCATCACCAAAATGACACAGAAAAAAATAGAAAACAGCACACATCTTAAAGCAAAATCAAAGGGTCACAAAATCGACTGACCAGAAAAGGAATTTTCAGCTGACTGACATATAGCTAATTCGGCTTGCAGCAGCTGTGGATGGGCAAAGATATGCAAGAGATCTCTTCTCGCTGGGTCCCCGGGCTTCAAGAGCAGCACCGGCGACTTCATGGCGAGGACTTAGATGTCTACACGCTGTCTACCTGTTAGATGGCAACACTGGCACCAGGTATGAACACTGCATATTCTGGTTGGACAATTTGTTTATGTTTTTTATTCTCTGAACCGCCTCATTGGATACATAAATTTTAAGCTTTGTATGCGATTATGTTTATGCAACATAAATGCTTGAATATATTGTTCTTGTACATATTCTGAAAGAGCTTTAATTAGTAGATGTCCATGGCAGCAAATTGCAGGCTTACAAGTTATTAAGTATCATATGCTGCTCTAAGTTGATTATGTGTTCCAGTCCATCTCGACACTAACATCCATTGGAATCCCATATTGTTGCTTAGACTCTCATCCTTGGCCATAAACATATATGAGTAGTGATCGTTGTTGAGGCGTTGAGCCCTCAATGAAACAATACCTCAGTTTTATACGTGACAGCAGTGCAAGACTATTCAAAACTGTAGCTACTCTTGCTGAACCGCCACATGTGTGCTTGTACCAGTTTGTGACTCTGTCCTTGAAACCGTCGGGTATTTGTTCGTTTATTTCTGAACTTGGAGCGGAGGCCTTTGCTCTACTGAAATGAGCCACTCGTTCCTTGCAACCATACTACATGTTTTCTATGGCTTGTTTCGTAATTGATGTTATATGCTGGACAAAATGGTGGCAGCCTAGGACTGATGGTGGTGTACTGGTGTTTGCTGCCACAGGCAAAGGGCGCGTGAGACACACATATACTTTGAGTAAGCCTGTCAATGCTGAAGATGTGCAAGTAGCATGATGTGTAGCGAGCTGGAAGGAGGTGCCCTGTTTCTCTTGGGGCAGGTGCCCTGGGAGCTACTTTGGAAGAATATGAACATTGATGAAGAGGAAGAAGTGCAAACTTTAAGAAACACAGGGATTGAGATTGTTCGTAAATGCGGTTGCCTCCCACTTGCAATCAAGGTTACCGCCAGTGCTTTGGCAAGCAAAGATCTAACAGAGAATGAGTGGAAAAAGTATTTGGGAAAAATAGTTGGCTCTCAGAACATGCTCTTGGATGAAATAGAAGGAGTTTTGTATCTAAGCTATGATGAGTTACCGCATCGTCTGAAGCAGTGTTTCATTTATTATGCTTTGTTTGTTGAAGATGCTATCATTGACCGTGACATACTTGCAAATTTATGGATTGCTAAAGGCTTCATAGAGGAGCAACAAGGCCAACTACTAGAAGAGATAGCAGAAGAGTACTACTATGAGCTAATCCATCGGAATCTCCTCCAACCAGATTATTTACAGTTTGACCAATCTAAATGCAAAATGCATGACCTCTTGAGGCAGCTTGCTTTAAATATATCAGGAGAAGAATGTTTTATTGGAGATGTTGAAACATTAGGGGGTGACAATATGTCAAAACTGAGACGTGTTGCTGCTGTCATTAAGAAGGATATGTTAGTGTTACCTAGAGTGGATAAGGTGGATGTTAAGGTGAGGACTTTCCTAACTGTTAATGGTCCATGGAAAATCGAGGATACATTGTTCAAGAGATTTTTGCTTCTTCGTGTTTTGGTACTGAATTGCTTGCTTGTACAAAGCATTCCAGACTATATAGGAAAATTGATACATCTACGCCTACTTAATCTAGATTATACTGGCATATCTTGTCTTCCAGAATCCATTGGCTCCCTAAAGAACCTTTTGGTATTGAGCTTGAGATGGTGTCATAATCTGCACAATCTCCCTTTCGTAGTGACCAAGTTGAGCAATTTAAGATGCCTTGACCTTTTTGGCACAACAATAAACCAAGTTCCAAAAGGGATAGGAAAACTGAAGTTACTCACTAATTTAACAAATTATCCTGTTGGTGATGGAGGTGATAATGCTATCGTACAAGATGGATGGAAGTTGGAAGAGTTGTCTTCTTTGTCGCTGATGAGGTATCTTTATCTTGTTAAATTGGAAAGAGCGACTCATTGTGGTACAAATACATTGCTTACGGACAAAAGGCATCTAAAAGAACTAAGGCTAGCGTGGACTGAACGTGGAGAGGGGTCATATTCAGAAGAAGATGTTAGCAATACTGAGAAGGTCTTTGAGAAGCTAGTACCTCCGTGCAACCTGGAAGACTTGTGTGTTTTTGGATTCTTTGGTCAGCAATATCCCTCCTGGTTTGGTGCCACCTGCTTGTCTTCAAGTTTATGGTCGTGTGTGGATCTTCCACCGATTGGTCAACTACCCAACTTGAAATTCCTGAAAATTGGGATAGCAGATGCAGTTACCAAGGTTGGACCTGAATTTGTTGGCTGCAAGAAGGATGATCCTGTATGTAATGAGTTGGTTGCTTTCCCTAAACTTGAATGGTTGATCTTCACAGATATGCCCAACTGGGAGGAGTGTTCTTTTTTTGTGGAAGAAGTTACTGTTGATGACCAAGGAGAAGAGGGAGATGGAGATGATCCGGGTGCCCCAGATATATATTTGGTGATGGAGATGATGCCAAACCGACACAACTGCGACCACAGACTAAACAGGGTGACGATGTGTGGAATGCTCTTCCGTAGGATCTTTTTCTGAACTTGATTAGTGAAATTGTTGACGCTCGAAAGTGGCACAATCATAAAAGTTGCTTAAAGCTATGTCAAGATTAATTTAAAGTTATGATTGGAAGTCACCATGGGATAGCTCTATTCGAGAAGATTAAGATGGATTTGAAGATGGTCTAAAACGGAGCTCGGATGCAAAAGTTATGACAAGTTTGGAGATGTGCATATTGACATAAGATTATAAAATGGCCATAGACTCAATTAAGATGGCCTCTGATGGAAAACGTTTCAACATGAAAGTTGTGCGTATCGTCGAATCAGTTGATTTTGATATAAAAATCGTCTTAATCCGAGGTCGTATGCAACCTGTGAAGGCAAAATTAGGACAGAAACAAAAGCTGGAGAGTCATTTCGGACGGACCGGGTTGATTGACTCGGTGAGACCGAGTTGATCCGGAAAATTACAGAAAGTTACAGAAAGTTGGCAACGCTCACTCGGTGGCACCGAAGCAAACTAATCGGTCAGACCGAGTTGATCCGGGAAATTACAAAAATTTATAGAGAGTTGGCCACGTTCACTCGATGGGACCGAAGCAAACCAATCGGTGAGACCGAGTTGACCCGGAAAATTGCCAAAGATTCCTATCCGAGTTAGGTTAGGGTTTTTGATGTTTCAGATGGACTTTTTAGTCCTTTTCTTGTACGGGAAGTCCAGCCGCCTCATAAATAGATGAGAGGTAATGGCCGATTGAACAACACACAATCGACAAATCAATATACTATTTTTTATCCTAGTTTTTACATCTCTCCCTTGTTCTTTCTCTCTCGTTCTTCGTTCATTCTTCGTGTTGAAGGGCAGCGATCCTCGAGGCTCTAGGGGCGAGCGAATCGACCTAGGGTAGCCCATAGCCGCCGCGCATCCAGACAGGGTCCCTCCCGGGCGCTTGGGGTTTTGGGTTGTGAAAAGCACCTGCCGGATTGCTTGTGTACCACGCTTCCGGACGAGTCTCCTTCGACGTGAGCTCCGGTGCATCACCCTCGGTGTTGGAGGTACACAGTGACGTGTTTGTGTGAGAATACACTTGTTGACGACTCCGCTGGGGATGAAAGATCAAGAATCATCATCAACAATGTCTAATCTCCCCAAGCCCTCAGATGTTGCCGCCGATAACATCATTAAGCCCGGTCTTGATGAGCTATCGGATGAACATCGTCAAGCCTATGAAGCGCGCAAGAAGCAGTGTGAAGAGGCTTTTAAGGCGCTCAAGAAGAAGCGCGAGGAGGAGGATTTGGAAGCGTTTCTTTCAAGTTTCAAGAAGGACCGTCAAGGCAACATCACTCCGGTTGGAAACGTCAATTTTCCTCCGCTCATCGACGAACAAGATGTAATCACTGTGAGTAAAGATTTTTCTCTGGAGCAAGTGACTGTGATTGAAAGTCTTGTTAGTGAGGGTAATGTGATGGCATGTAATTCTTTTGTGGCTAGTGCTAATGCTCGGAAAAATATGCCTCCGTCATCTAGTGGTACTATTGGTGTATCTGAAAACGCTAGTCCAACTTTACCTATTTCATCGGCACCTCCTATACAACAACAATATAGTATGTCGTTGAATTTTTACCCTAGTCAAACCAATCAGCTTGTGACTACACCTACATACCCTAATCCTATTATGAGTGTGCCCAATTCAGCGTCAACGCCGAATCATTTTGTCACACCACTCATAGGCGCAAGTATGTTTGGTCTTCCGCCAAATTATGGTTCGGCGCCCATCCCACAAGTTGCACCAATAGCTAGTACTCAGGTTGCTCCTATGTCATTGCCACAAACATCTTCATCTACCTCGGATCCAATTTTAGCTAAATTAAGGGAGGATTTGCATAAGATGTTTCTAGAAACTTTCAAAAACGAGCCGAAAGTAAAGAGTCGTGTGTATCAAAAGCCTTATCCTGAACACTTCGATGCAATTTCTTACCCTCAAGGTTATAAGGTTCCCGATTTTGTTAAATTTAGTGGTGAGGGTACGAAAACAACTTGGGAGCATGTGAGTTAGTATCTAGCACAGTTGGGTGAAGCAGGTTCCATAGAAGAGTTGAAAGTGCGTTTATTTCCCTTGTCTTTAACTGGCACCGCATTTTCATGGTTTGCTGCTTTACCACATGGCTCAATTCTCTTATGGTCGTAATTAGAGCAAAAGTTTCATGATTACTTTTATAGCGGCGATAATGAGCTAAAGTTGTCACATCTTACATTGGTTAGGCAAAAACATGATGAATCAGTCACCAATTACGTCAAGAGATTTAGAGATATAAAGAACCGATGTTATAGCTTAGTGATAACAGAGAGAGACTTGGCGGATCTTGTTCTTAATGGTTTAAAAACACACATTAAAGAGAGGCTAGAAAGTTATGAGTTTTTGAATATTAACCAACTCTTACAAAAGGCATTGGCTCAAGAGAGTCTAAGTAAAGAGGTTCATAGGTCTACAACCGATCGTCCTAGAATGCATATGGTTG